ACTTTTGAGAGACTGATTGACCTGCACATAAGAAACAGGATTCCTCGAGAGCGTTTTAGCCCCTCTCAACACACCTACCTGAAAGGTAGATCCGTGGAATCTGCCCTGCACTCAATCGTCAAAACCATAGAGGAGTCTCTTAAAAACAAAGATTTTGTAGTGGGTACCTTCCTTGATATCGAGGGGGCTTTCAATAATGTCCTTCCTGGGGCGATAATAAGAGCCCTTACTAAGCTCGGAGTCGAGAGCTACTTAGTAAGGCTCATCTCACACTTGCTGCACGACAGAACTGTCACAGCGGAATGGGGCAACGCCTCTGAGCAGCGTAAAGTAAGCAGAGGCACCCCGCAGGGAGGCGTCCTTTCACCCTTCCTCTGGATAGTCGTGATAAACGACGTCCTGGAGGAATTGGAGAGGACAAGATGCCGGTTTATTGCCTACGCGGATGACGTGGCACTCATCGTCAGAGGAAAGTTCTTGAACACTCTGTACGATCTCATGCAAGGGTACCTAAACAGGGTCACAAACTGGTCCGCTAGCTGCGGGCTTGCTGTCAATCCTGGAAAGACGGAGCTCGTTCTTTTTACCAGGAGGTACAAAAAGCCTCATGCCCAGCTTCCCTCACTTCCACTTGTTCTCTCTGACAGGGTCAAGTTCTTGGGCGTGATCCTGGACGGAAAACTGTCATGGAAACCTAATATTGAGGAACGAGTGAGGAAGGCATCGGTGGCCCTCTACTGCTGCAAGAATGCCATAGGGAAGAGATGGGGCCTCTCCCCAAAAGTGATGTATTGGCTATATGAAACCATAATTAAACCAATAATGTTGTATGGTATGGGGTCATCGTCTGGTGGAGTTCACTGGAAAAGACCACTCATGTTAGGAAGCTAGAGCGCGTGCAAAGGGCAGCCCTCGTTGGGATCAGCGGGGCGCTCCGAACCACTCCCACCTTAGCGCTAAACGCTATACTCAATGTCGCACCTGTCGACATTTCGGATGGAATGGAAGAGGGGTAGTCTCTGGAGAAGAGGTCCAATAAACATCTTTACGGACGGATCGAAGCTGGAAAGGAGAGTTGGAGGAGGTGTCTACTGTCAGGAACTCTCAGTAGATCTTACTTTCAGACTGCCGGATCTCTGCAGCGTCTTTCAGGCAGAGGTGGCCGCTATAAAGGAGGCAGCCGATTGGCTACGCACCAATGTACTGTCAAAAAAGGAGGGTAAATATATATACTGATAGCCAAGCGGCAATCAGGGCGCTGGGATCGCTAATGGTGTGCTCAAAACTGGTTGGGGAATGCCTGACCTCTCTCTCAACTGCCTCGGAGTACTTCCAGATCAAGCTGATTTGGGTCCCGGGGCACAGTGATATCGCGGGAAATTGCAGGGCTGATGAACTGGCCAGGCAAGGCACCCTTGAGGCCATCACCTCGGATAGGGAGGGCATTGGAGTTCCGCTGGCAACCTGCGGCCTGCTTTTGGACAGATGGGCTCATGGTCGGCTCAGCGAGCGCTGGGAAAAAACCCCGACTTGCAGAGTTGCAAGGTCCTTCTGGCCGGTTGTGGACCGCAGGCGGTCAAGGGAACTGCTGCAGCTGGCTAAGCGTCAGCTCTCGATTTTCACAGGTGTACTGACCGGACACTGTCCAATGGGAACCCACGCGGTGCGACTCAATATCGTCACGGATCCCTACTGCCGCAGTTGCCTGGAAGACGAGGTGGAATCATCTCAGCACTTCCTACTCAACTGCCCGGCATTCGCTAGATTACGGTTTAAGCATCTCGGTGCGCATTTCATCGACACTCCCGAGGGACTCTCCGGAGTGGACATCAGCTGTTTGAAGAACTTCATTATGAACACCCAGCGCTTCTCGTAATTTTTACGCAGTTACCGTCCCTATGTAATGTGGTATCACAATGGACAATCAAATGTCTAAGTGAGTCCCCTTTGCGGGTCTGCCACCTTAACCTAACCTAACCTAGTAATCGAAATCGATTTAGAAAAGGTTATCCTTAGCTTCTGTTTGTAGCTGGCCGGCAAAATTTTAGAAAGCTGATTTCAACTGGTGAGTTCATTTGCAAAATAATTCCCTACTTAGTTTTACTTGAGAGTTGTCACATAAGAATCTGTAAAATGGGCTATGCATGTAAGCGGTTACCCAACGCATAGCACTTCACATTTAGAATTCTATTTGGTTTTGATTTTTACGTAGAAATGGTATAGCAGTGCAAGTATGCATAACTGGGCTATTCGCCTTGCTTCTTTTTAAATTTAGTAGTCGTATATTCAATTCATGGTTAGTTTAGTGATGTCATCTATTATGGTACTTTTTGGAAGATCGTATTGTATGAATGTGTGAGTTCATCAATTGAGTTACCACATCGACACAGTTCTAAACAATGCAAGCCGCACCGAGCTATGCAGTGTCAGCACATCAACTGATTTACCATATCGGCTCTTTAGCATACTGAGCTATACATTGTCAGCATATAAACTGAGTTACTGAGTTACAAATTTTTTCAGAGGTGAGTCTGAGCGTGCGGCACAGTTCTAGGAGTCAGCACAGTGCTGAGTTACCCACTACTAAGTGACTTATAGAGTGTGCCGTATGTCGAGAGAGGACTTTACTCCTGAATTGCCTACTCAGTCCAAAGTAGCACTTGTTGGCAAGAGTGAATCTGCTTTGGATTTCCATGCTGACATTATTATCGGTGTTAATGCTGGTTCCCAGGTAGACGAAATTCTCTACTTTCTCGAAATTGTAACTGTCAACAGTGACGTGGATGACAAGGCGCGAATGTGCTGACTGTTTGTTTGATGACAGGAGATACTTCGTCTTGTCCTCGTTTACCACCAGACCCATTAGCTTGGGTTCCTTATCCAACTTGGAAAAGGCAAACAGACTTCGCGGTTTTTGATACCACATGATACCACACACACACGTGGAAAATAAGTTGGATGAAAATGCCCAAAGTACATCAGCCCTCTCAGTGCATCGATTGAAAAACAAAGCCGCCCGCGCGGCCAGCCTTGGATCGATTCAACTGCAAATTCAACTTTTTTGCTTACAACGCTCCAAACCACGCCCGCTTCGCTTGATGTCACTGTTTTATTTTTTAAAATATGTACATATGTATACTTACAATAAAAGTTGCCTCTTTATTTCCGTGCTGGGACGTGTCCCGTCGTGTCGGGCAACTGAAACTCTTAACGTGGGGGCTCGTGCGTGTTTTTGAAAGCTGATTTTGCACTCGTGCCGGGCCGGGCCTGAAAATTTAGTCGTAAGCATTTGAATTTCTCATCCGTGTCGTTGATATCCATGTTTACGCTATCACGACAAAATTACATATGAGCCGCTCTCCGTCTGTGGCAAACGACAGCAAACATGTTCGTCATGTGTAGCCAGTGTAATATAGAGTCACTAATCAGGAAATATACTTAGGGCTGGTTACTCAATGTCTGGTTAACACTAATCTCCGGTTAAACATAGTTATCGACGTTACCGACTCCCTGTTGTATGCATGAGTCGATAACGATGTTTAACCGCAGATTAGTGTTAACCGGACATTGAATAACAGGCCCTTAAATAGAATTCTAGGAACAACATGGCTTGTATGATATTGATGTTATTATTACTACGTTTATACGCACGTATTGTTTGCAAATAACCATTTGCAAAATGGTAAACTTTGCCGTATACACGCTGAGTTAATTTTTTATTTGCAAATAACTAAATCACGCAAATAAGGCCCAGTAGTTCAAAGTCTGATTAGCACAAATCGGAGGTAGAAGCTCTGGTTAAATACAAAGACTGCTTTATCGATCACATGTTATGTGCATGATGTCGGAAACGTCAATAATGATGTTTAACCGGCAAGTACTGATAACCCGACATTGAACAACCGGCCCTTAGTATCGATTAGTGATATTACTTGCAAATAAGCGCAATACGCCGCCATTCTTAGGTTTATTTTCTTTTTCGATGGTCATCCTTTTGTCTTTTTATAATCAAGATCTTGCCATTTTTAACTTTATTTTCTTTTTTGATGGTCATATTATTGTCTTTTTATAATCAAGCAATATTAAATAAAAATTTTTCGCCGTCGAATAAACAGTGAGTTAGGTATTTGCAAATTATTTTTATTTGTAAATAGCTTATATATATGATAAATTAAACGGTATCGCAAGAAAGTACCCTTTTGGGTATTAATCATGATCCAACTACAGAAGATCTGACAAGATGAAGCAAGATAAAAAAGTAATTTTCTGGCTGACTTATAATTTCGGCACCATGTTATTTTCTATGAAAAGCAAACAAACAATATGAAGACGAAGCATAAAGGAGAAAATGCAAGCAATTTTGTACCACATGTTTGTGCTAACCAATTTATTATTTTGCAACCAATCACCGCGCAATTCATTTTAATAACATTTGCTCAAAAAATTATTGAAAATCTCTTAATTGATCTTATTATGATACATTAAGCGGTATCGCAAGAAAATACCCATATGGGTATCAATCATGATCCAACTACACAAGATCTGACAAGAGGAAGCAAAAGAAAAGGCAATTTTCTGGCTGACGTTTGTAATTTCGCCGCCATGTTATTTTCTTTGCAAAGCAAACAAAGAATATGAAGACGAAGCATAAAGAAAAAAATCAAAGCAATTTTTGAGCGCATGTTTGTGCTAACCAAGTTATTATTACGTGTTTTTGCAACCAATCACCGCGCAGTTCATTTTAATTACATTTGCACAAAAAATTTATTCAAAATTGCCTAAAAATCAATGAAATAAACCAGCGACAAAATACACATAAAGAAAGAAGCAAAACAGTAGTAGCAAACTTCAAAATTACGAACGTCACACACAACACACGTCTGCTTCTCAACAGGTCAGATCTGCTCAAATTGGTTGATGGGTATCAATAGAACGTCACCCTAGTATCGAATACCGATTTACCCAGTATCGAATCAAAAGTATCGATACCAAGATTTTATCAATAGTATCGCAACCCCTACGTGTATTAAATATATTAGTGGGGATATATTTTGGTGACGTGCATATGATTTACCAACAAGTGTTATAATATATGTTTTTAATCAGAATTTAGGATCAACATTTCCTGACATGGGTATATTTGTCTTAATAGGAATTTTCTTTACACTGCTCTGCCCAATATACGTATTGGGTACATTCAAATACTTGGAGGACAACAAATTAAATGACGACGATTTCGCAGGACAAATTTCTCAGTTCCCACTTTTGATGCCGCAAGTATCTCCAAATACGGTAAATATTCGGTATATTTTAGTATAATGAATCCCTTATCCTCGAAAACGGGTTATGACCCATGTTGCCCTCCGTCCCGTTTTCGATGGGTAACGGTACAAAACCTGGTGGGACGCAAAAGGGTTGACTTTAGTGTACATCGACAAGTCTGTGTTTCAGCAAAAATATCGAAAAATTTTCTCATGAAACTGCGAGGATGATAAATTTTGTGGCAGGTAATTAAAGTGTCGTGTCAATTTTTAAACCTTTTTCGCATTCTGGGCGCCCTTGTAACCGGTAAATTTGGTTATCATCTCATAAACTGGTAACGAAATATTGGGGTATTGTTTGCATATTTGTACCACGATTTTGGGGTGCTATGTCCAAACGCGTAAATTGAATCGAATCAAAAAACTTGTGGGCAGCTGCTGCAGCTGGCCAGACATAACAGTAGTCAGCGCTGGTCTGATAAACAGCGAATCATCGCGGCCTATGCTGACTTTGGCATCAGACCATCTGCCCACAGTCATCTCGATCGATAAACCAACTGACTTTGATTCCGCGGAACACCGGACCTATATCAACTTTTCTAAAGCTGATTGGAAACCTTGGTGAACGTAAGTTCCGAAGGGCTATCACCGCTGCTGCAGCTCACTTCGTACCGGCAGGATGCATAACGGATCCACGTCCAAATTTCCCTGCTTTGGTCAACCGCACAGTGAGACAGTTCCCAGGACAGTCGGGTCTACGTAACCGGAACGACCCAGATTTATATCTGGCCAAGGACTGTCACTCCAGCAACACTCCCCAAAAAGTCTTTGGGGAATTTGTATGCTGCTACAACAACAACAACAGCCCAATAGTAACCGCGGCAAAAAATGGTTTTTGACGTGTCGTCCAATTTGGATGAAGTTTTCACAGTATATTAACAGATATATGAGTAACAATTCCCTGAAATTTCAGCCTCATAACTTCATTACTTTTTGGCCTAGAGCAAGTCAAAGTTGAGGTATGCCAACGCGCTTGAAATATGTTAGTTCAATATGTAATAATCAAAAGCTTATTAAAATAAAAATACATAATAAATGTAACTTTAAAGTATTTTTTTAATTAATTTAGTTATTGTAGAATGAGTAAATGAAAAAATAAATTAAAAAAAAAAACAAAATTTTTTTTTCTTAACAACAGAATTGTGGTGCAAAAATTGAACATTTTGCATTTTCAATGGCCTAGGAAATATAGAGCAGCCCCTCGCCCTAGGTGCAGACTTATACCAAATGAAAGTTTGAAGTCTCAGCTTTAATTTAAAGTAGAGGACATATAGCAAAAGTTTGCAAAAGCACATTAAACATACAAAAAACTACAAAAAGTACGTAACGCGCACATTCTGTCGCTATACGTATGTTAGCATGCAATAGCATGTTTACAACTTTTTACTTTTATTTTTTTTAATTGTTTACTATTCACTTATTGTGCAAGAGAATAGTAATAAATTACATTTGTTTTTTGTTAGTTATTTAGAATTATGCTTTAAAGATCATTTATGTTTTAATAAAAATATTCTTGTTTATTTACGTTATTAATTTGATAGATAATTTTGTTGAAGGTCATTGACTTTGGGTTAGATAGTTGCATAATTTTTAATTTAAATTGATAGTGCAAGATATTGTTCTTATCTAAGTTGTGTTATGATCACTTTCTAATGTTGTTAGTTTAATTGTTATATTGTAGTGCCGCTTGTCGCCTGGCAGGAAAATAGAGTATTTTAAAAGGTTCAATCGAAAATACCAACGCAATCTTATTTTTGCTAAAAACAAGTAGTTTCTTTCCCGCCATCTATCGGGCAAGTTTGCTTGTATCCCCTGGAGCCAATCCTCCCCAGCAAAAAGTTCGCCGCCACTAGCTAACCGCTCACCTTTTGTGTTTTTTTTTGCCGCCACCAGCATAATGTATAAGTGCATAAATTAAAACAACTTAGCTATAAAGTAACATTAGTGAGGCCCTCAGCCGCCATAGAAAATAATTTTTTTTTGATTTCGTGCTCAAGTGTTAGGACTTGCAACTTTGGTTTTAAATTCATAAGTATAAAGAAGGAAAAAAAAAATGTAATAATGTACTGCAACTATTAACTTAAGAAAAAAAATGTTTGCTTAGAAAAAGGAACAAAAAAAAAAATGTAATTAAATTAGAGGAAGAAGGTGCACCTTAATGCATGCAGCTAGTAATACTTGATTACATACATACGTTTATACACTAACGCAACCATACACTCATGATTATGCCCGCTTCCCGAAAATCACAAAAACGTTCCAGCCTCAACAGTCACCACCCCTCGCACACCGAAAGATCTTTCGTCGTGGGAGCAATGCTGTAATTCTCTTGCATTATAATTATTTTTGTTGTCCAAAGCTCATAAGCAGCCTAATATAGTGATCATAATTTTGGTTTTGGTTGTTGTTGGATTTTGGGCATTTTTTCGTCCGCTGAGCCAAATCATTTTTTTTTTTGCTCAAACATATGTACATCTGTACACACATAAATGATCGTGTTCTTATCAATTTTAGTGAAGTAAAAAAGTAAGAGAAAAAAAAAGAGAGAAAAAAAATAACTTTTAGCTGTTAATCCCAGCATTTCTCTTACATATTTGATATTTTATTTTGTGCTCACAAACTTTTTAAAAACAAACTGTAAAATAATATTACATTACATAACTGGTGTAAATGTAGACTTAATTCACCGCTTGAAAATTATATTAAATACTATAAATAGTAGTAAAAATATAGATGTTGGTAAATTCCATACGTATTGCATGGACACTGCAAAATTATATGTAGAGCTTTATGGCTGGTACTACATGCCCATCACTGTGCATAAAGTTCTCATTCACGGCAGCAAAATGGTATCTGAGGCTATATTGCCAATAGGTTTGTTTGGAATTTTTATTTTTGAAAGTATTTTTTTAAACTTTATTGAATATTAACTTTTTTTTTTGCTACAGGAATGTTATCCGAAGAAGCGCAAGAAGCAATGAATAAGGAGTATAGAAACTGTAAGCTATTCCATTCTCGTAAAAATTCACGTATTTCTACGAATGAAGATGTAATGCACTATTTGCAAATATCATCAGATCCTTATATTAATTCATTTAGAATGAGAAACAAATTAAAAAAATTAGAATACCATGATGATGTTAAAAAATTATTGATTGAATGAAAAAAAAATATTGTTTTTTTTATTGCATTTCAATGGGAGGTGGGCGTATTAGTGGGCGTGTTATTGTAATTTTTGCATGAAACATTTTAAATGATATAAATTACAGTAATATCGAATTTGAAGGTTGTATTTAATATATTTTAGAAAATATGGCACTTTTTATGTTGAGGTAGTATGGGTGATGGTGTTAAAAGTGGGCCAAAGTTCAATTTTTATTTCAAATAATGTTTGTAACTATATAACATTCAAGTATACCAAAATTGAAAGTTATACCTAAAGTATTACGGACAATATGGCATTTTACAAATTTCGACTGTATGGCAGGTGGGCGTAAAAGTGGGCGAATTTTCTTAATTTTTTTTTTTAAAACTGGAATTGTCTCAAAAATAACCTGTGCAAAATTTCAGAGCTCTACAATGACTCCTTGTATTTAATGCCGGCGTTGTCTCACTGTGAACCGTGAGGTCACTGTCCAATCCGACGAAGCACGACGACAGGGTCGAAATTTCTTTGGCGACCCTGCTTCGTCGGACCTATTCGTCGAGCTATTTTAGCCACGTGTGTCAAGTTAGCACTACACTTTTCGAAATTGGAAATGTTAACTACGGCATTAATTGTAGTTTTTTTTTGTAAATTTGTTGTGTAAAGAAAAAATTTGTAGCTCTCGTTTTTTAAGAAAAAATGGTATGTAGTGCTAACTTGACACCATACACTTAGTCGATAGAATGGAGATATCCAGTATGTCCCTATGCCATTAATTGTAGCTTTTAACTTTAAAATTTGTTGTAAAAAGAAAAAAAATTGTAGCTTTCGTTTTTCTGGAAAAAATTTAGTTGACTTCTTTTCGAACAAAATCTAGTATGTAGTGCTAACTTGACACCATGCACCCTTGACGACAGAATTGACATATTGAAAAGGTTACAACGGAATTAATTGTAGTTTTTTTGTTGTAAATTTGTTGTGGAAAGAAAAAATTTGTAGCTCTCGTTTTGTAAGAAAAAGTGGTATGTAGTGCTAACTTGACACCATACACCTAGTCGATAGAATTGAGATATTGAAAATGTTATAACGGCATTAATTGTAGCTTTTTTGTTGTAAATTTGTTGTGGAAAGAAAAAATGTGTAGCTCTCGTTTTTTAAGAAAAAATGGTATGTAGTGCTAACTTGACACCATACACCTGGTCTTTTAACTTTAAAATTTGTTGTGAAAATAAAAAAAATTGTAGCTTTCGTTTTTCTGGAAAAAATTGAGTTGACCCTTTTTCGAACAAAATTTACTATGCAGTGCTTGTTGGTGTTGTAGCGTTGTCGTCAATTTCAGCTAGAAGGAGGCCCAGGAAGTGTGCGACTTCCACAGGGGCTGTCCGTAGGTGTAGGATTAAAATATGTTATATATGCATATGCTTATTAAATTTACTTGTTTTGTGAATACCTTTAATTTTAAATTTATTTTATTTTGTTGTTAATAATTTGTAATGGAAATAATGTTGTCCAAAAATTTTCAGTACTCAAAAAGCTTTTTAAAGAACTAGCATAAAATATACAGAGCTCAATTTTAATTATTTAAAAATTTATTACCAACTATAATTGGCGATCCTGCCTTAATTTGACGAGGCCATACCTTTTAGCCAAGGCAACTAATATTAGATCCGCATCAAGAAATATAGCAGTCACTGGAGTTTACATTTGTTTTGAATTTGACAAAAATACGACTTAAATCTTAAGCCGCTAATTGACCAGTTTGAGCAGCTAAACTAAATCAACGCACTTCTAAATATCTGGGAGCGTTTGTACAAAATATATAATAT